ATGTATGATACATTTCCTTGCACATTTGGAGTTATGAAAAACTTTTACCTAATCTTTGTTCCACTCATAATGAAATTCTCTTATGGGCCGTTGACCTCAGGGCTCAACGTACGTTTAACATCGACCCTATCTCACATGTCCTCACCCTCTCAACCAACTTTCCGTGTCAAAACACCCTCCCAAACCATGTTTTATGGAGTTTTGAGCGTTTTTGGAAAGAATGTTTTTTTGACCTTTGACCTTTGACCTGCGACAGACACACACAAACGAATTTCCGTTTTTTGACCACTTTTTTTCGACATGACCCTCCTTTCAGTCGAGGGAATGAAAGAAATATTAAATATATTAGAAAATTATAAATCGAAAATCAATGACATGAATGGTATCGAATATTTCAATTAACAATAATTTTGAGTCATCCATTAGAAAAATTTTCTAATTTTGAAGTATTTCAATTATTTATTAAGAATTTTTCTCGTCTTCAAATATTTAGCTACAATATTCTCATTACTCATCTACCTAATGATCGATATTCTAATAGTCGTTTTAAAGATCAATGAAAAAACGAACTTTATAAAAGAATTTTTCAATTATCATTTAATTTCTATTTCTATTAACCAAAATTTCAAAAATATTTCTTTCTTTGTACCAATTAATTACAAAAGAGTTCATATTTGATCATTTAAAACGATTGAAAATCAATTGAATAACAAATGAAAAGGAAAAATCTCACGAAAATTTGAAATTAGCGAAAAAACATTTTATTCCAATCGCCAAATTTGGACACCATATTCTTAAAAAGTGACAATACAAAAACAATTATTTTTTACTTAAAGAATTTATTTTCGATAAAATTTCCTCATAATATAAATGGCCTTGAAATCAATGGATATACGTACGACTATGGTAATGATTTATCAGACTCTTTGAAATTTACCGAATTTACAAGAATTGACATTACTTTGTAACAAAACAATTTATATTGATATGTTCAAAATCACACTTAAATGAAGTTCAACAAGTGTTACCAAGATTGATTCATTTACAATTGAACATGAGCTTTCTTCGCCAAACAATTCCTTCGTTGACATTGGCTTAACTTATATACTAAATATTTGATTGTAGAAGTGAAAATATATAAATAATTGCTGATTTTTCCTGTATATTTATGCTTTTTTTTAAGCTTAAAGATATCTGTGAAATATGATTTAATATCACTAGTTGATAGTTCTTCTTCTTTATCACACAAGATAGATGTTTTCTATATTTTTTACGATGGCTTAAAATACATTTTCCTTAGAAATGAAAAATGAATAAATTCATTCCCTCACTTTTTTTTACATAAATACTTTCATAATAAATAGAGTCATCTTTATTTAAGTGTGTGTATGTGTTAGGTAGAGTGTGTTAACCAATAGGATTTTTTTTCTTTTCTGTTTATTGTTACTTGATATTGAGTGTGTATATCATGACGAAGTATTTTAAAATATATTTTAATAAAACAAATGGAAGAGTTGAAAGGCACTTGGGAATTTGTATGTTATTTATTTATTTGAAATTAGAAATAACTTCCTATTTTAGATTAATGCAGAAAATTTTGGTGAGCTTTTGAAAGAACTTGGTGTTAATCAAGAAATACGTACGTTTACAAAAGCTGAAACTTTTAAACCTCGTGTTATAATTAATGAAAACGATGGAAAATGGTCATTGAAATCAGAAAATACTTTTAAAACAACAACAGTTGAATTTACACCGGGAATTGAATTCGAAGATATATCACCTGATGGACATCAAATCACTGTTTGATTCATTTTTATAGAAATTTTATTCATTTTTTGAATTTTTTTCTTTTTTAGATGATTATTTCTTTTGAAAATGGAAAATGGATTCAAAAAGTACGATATAAAAATGGAAAAGAAATGTTTGTAGAACGATGGATTAATGACCAAGATCAATTAGTAGTCGTATGTGTTTTTAAATTTATTAAATAAATAAATATATATTCTACACGTATTATTAGAGTATGAAATGTGGAAATGTTAAAGCATCTCAACTATACGAACGTCTTAGCTAATTTTCAACAAAAAATTTTATGTATTTCTATAAACAAGTAGCGTTCGTCGTGCCGACTCACTTCACCCTCGACTGTGGAAGACATATATACTGTCTGCGTGTGCTATTAATGAGGCGAATCGATCTAGCAACTTCACGTACGATGAAACGGTACAACTTTTTCTCTTCCACTATTTATTAGCTATCGCAAACAAAATAGCTTATTGTCTTTGTAAAACAAACGTGAGGATACAAAAGGTCCTTTTTATTGTGAATTTATCACCAGTAACGCTGGTCGGGTACTCGCGATGAACGCTTGGCTGATTAGAACTATACAACAGATGTATCAACTCACTTATCTCGCAGTCGGTCGTCGGCGTCCCTTCAGTCCACCACTCCCGACTGCTCAATATTGCTCATAGCATATACACTTTCTTAATAGCAGGCGCTTTCCGCCACCACCCTTCACACAACAAAAGCATAAAAAATGTTCAATGCATTATTCATGTATCCTACACATCTCATTTCACAGCCTTACATCCCGTGATAGCTGTCGATCCATTTTATGATTTGCGACAATTATCAATCAGCCTCAACTATCTCCACGCGCTATGCGTGACGTTTCTGTCATTTTTTGCCTTCAATCATGACACAGATAGATACCATTCAAACTACTTTTCCTCAAGAGACCATGTTGCTAGTCTTCGTCCATGTACCCAATACAGTATTCGCTTANTGATGTTTATGTGTCAAAACGTGCTCTACTAATTCAGATTTAGTTGACAGAGTCCTAATATTCGCTTTATGCTCTTTCATTCGAGTTTCTTTCAAACGACTTGTCTCACCGATGTACACTTTTTCACAATCTAAGCATGGAATAGAGTAGACTAAGTTTTTGTTCTTTCTCTTCTCATCTGTTCCTTTGAGTATAGGTAAGAACACGCTGCTTAAACTATTATTAGAGTGGGATTTGGTGTTTATGGCAGACGTATCATCTTTTTTGAATGTGATTTAAACTGGTCTCCTTTATGACAAAATGAAACAGTTGATTTTGAGATTAGTGAGAGTTTGAAACGTTTCCATGGATGCTTTCATAAAAGGATCTTGAATCTTTCTGGTATTCACATAGACGTTCATCAATTTGAACAAACGATAAATGAGGCTATAGAGGTAGAAAGTCTGATAATAAGTGTTCAAGAAAGTAACCAAGTAGTGCAATGTTTTTAAGAAGTACGGTCTATTCGTCTTTTATGGTAATGATGTCGATTATCTATTAACACGATTTTTCTTCCATAAGCAAGTTGTGAATTGAAGTCAACTTCATTAAATCCATATTTGAAGAACAAATCAACGTGGCAATGCCCATCGTATAATGACAGTCCTAGTGGTAGATGATATTTCTTCTTACATGAACAGATGTTGTAAAGACTTCCTTCACAAATAGCATTCATTTTCAAGAAAATGTAGAACTATGACAACAAATCGATAACTCAAAGAATCGAATCAATCATTTTATATATTCATTCCACACTGATCTTGCATGAACTTAATCGAAATAGAAACAAAAATGAATTATCATTCATTCTTGATTGACTTTTCAAACAATAATAACACAGTCATGAGGAATTACGTCAATTAAGATTGTCTTGATGTCCTGTTTATCTATTTCGAAACCTATCATGTCTATTAATCATTTCTATCTTTATTCAATCAATTGGAAGTGCAATCAACCCTGCATGAATATATTTCCACGTAGTAATATCAATAGAAACCTTTCCACTCGAACTCCGTTTCTTTCGTTAAGATTATTTAGCTCAAAACAAAACAATTTTCTTCTAAGCAAAAGTTTCAATATTGACTGTTTTTGCAAAACGCTTGACTCAAACAGATGCCATAAGGTGACTTTCATCATCACGAGAATGATCAACATTGAAACATAAAAGTTGATACTATGTGTTCTATTTAATATTCATTTGTATTTGATATCACTCATCTTCATTGAGCTCAAAATCAAATTTTGATTTGATAATATAAAATAGAACCAATATCAATAAGGTCAAACGAACCACTTCTATCTCGATTCATCTGTGTGTGAGTATGATTACTATTTTGAGATAGTTCCAGTGTATGATATCAAATTTTGATGTTAATGGTGAAAATCGTAAAATAGAGAAATATCATACCTATAATCCTGTACTTTCGAGTCAACATGATACTTCATGATATACACGAACGAAAAGAGATTGTACATATCAGTAAGTAAATTTCAGCTTTTTCCATTGCAATTGAAATCAGACTTCCATTCTAATAAGCAGCACAAACAACTGAAATCAGTAAGTTGAACTAAACAATCTCAACTGAAATTCGCATGTTGAGACGAACAGTTGAGTTTTGGAAAAATCATCGAATTGACATTCATACCATACGATAATTTAAGTGATAGAAAGCATTCGTACAAATAAGTTAATCTCGATCATATAGATTGAAATTCACGCTGAAACAAATGTGAGCATTTTCAGAATTTGTTTTTCCATGTGAAATAAAATCAATATCAATTTTTGTTCCGATAATATTGACTCGGATTGATGTGAACCATTGCATTTAAACGACAGATTGGAAACGGTATCAATATTCCTGTTGCTAATAATATCACCCTCAATTCATGTGAACAACTTTTCGAATATGACTTTTTGGGTAACTATGACCGAAAAATTCTGAAATTTTCGTTGAGGTTAACAAAACAATTGATATGTGTCTCACAGTAGATGGGATCTTTTCACTTGATTTCAATGGCATGAATCTGTCAAGTACCGATGGTTGTTTTCCTGATTCAAGTTTCAATTTCTTCAACTGTTATCCATTTCATTGACATTCAACACCGATACACACCATGTTCAATTTTCACGATATTGATTGAAAAAATTAAGTCTATAGAAAAATTGGCTTCGATAACATAACTGATTGATATTGAATCTTTTCACTGTTAACAATGCCAAGTAAGATCAATAAAAATAGTTCATCTTCCAAATAACAACTTGAATAAATATCAACAAGTATTATTTATAATATCCATTGAGATTGATAAGATTTTTCAATTTTGACGAAATCTGATACAATCCATATGCGATACTTCACTGCCAAAGAAAGAAGTTGCATTTCATTGAATCTTTTCTTTCTTTTTATCCGATTCGAACAAACCCATGACATCTTTTGATTGTTGAGTGAACATTTTCATAATTTTAATTCAAATAATGAAGAAATGTAATGTGTTGCAATACAATGAAATGACGAACCATGAATAATATTTGTATGAGTAATATTAGTATCGAATTTTGGATTGAATGGAAATAAAAAAAGAGCGTTTTAAAATTATATCTAAAAGTGTCGTATTGACAATGTTCTCGGCTCCTTTGATTGTTCTCACCGACAATGACCATTCGATCGTACAGATTGTTCTGTTGTGTGTTGACCTATGACTTTGATCTTTTCCTCTTCTTTTTTCACTAAATATATAAATGAGATGATTTTTCTGATATCGTCATTCCTGATGATGTTCTCAGTATGAGAATGAAAGCTCGAATCCTATCTTTTATTTCTGATTGAGATAAAACTTTGAGATGATATTTGCAGCAGTCCTCACTTTCTTGTCTAATTTATTTCCTACTGCTCTTCCTCCTTCCTTTATAATGAGATGTAATTCTTGGTGGAGCGTTGTAAATATCATCAGTTGTATTCGATTGAGGTGTTGATTCATCAACACCTGATGTTGTTAAAGGCTGGAGAAGTTTCTCCTTTGAAACAGCACGTCTATCGAAAGGATATATTCCAGCTTTTGCGAATCCAGCAGAACAATGACCTGGTAATAAATGATTTC